TTATTTATACATCAAATCAATATATAATTAAAGTTGAAAAACTAAATTAATATTTATAATTAAAATTTAAGACTAAATTAGTATTTATTTTTAAAATTTAAAAATTAAATTAGTGGTATTTTCAAAGTTTAAAAATAATTTTGATATCAAAAATTAAAATTTAGGAATAATGTTGATATATTTTTAAGTTGAGAGGTAATTTTAACATAAATTTAAAAGTTAAAAAATTATATTTGTATTTTAACTAAGTTTTATTTGTATTTTTTTTAGTTACGGTTAAGACATTCTCAAATTAATTTTGATGCCTGAACTAATTTCATTTAGCCATTTTAAAAACATCCTCGCGTTAATATTAGCCTGTATGTCCAAGAAATATGGCTTACAAAGGAACATTTATTTAACGGTAAATTGTAGATGTACTTTTCATACGTGGCAATTCTCTATTTGTCCGTAATGTACCTTGTATCACAGCCAGTATACGGCATCCCAAATTAGAATTGCCTCCATTTTTTTCTACTCTTCCCGCCATTTTCTCTCTCGAAATCGAATGTCATCATAATAATAATCCCTAATTACCAATCTATGTATCTTATTCTCTCATCTCACCACGGACAAAGAACAAAACAACAGAAACAAAACCCAAAACCCAGAAACCATTTGCAAGAAGCAGCAGTTGCAGATGGGTATTAAGGATCTTCTCAGATTCCTAAAACCCCACATTGAACCCATTAACATCAAGAAATATGCCGGCAAGCGTGTAAAGAATCATTAAATCTCTTCGCTTCTTTCGTTGTTATTAGATTTGATGTTTATAGTCCTTTTTTTTTCATTTTGGGATTGATTTGCAGGTGGGCATTGATGCATATTCGTGGCTGCACAAAGGAGGTATTGTTTTTTTACATATTTTGTATCTTCTATCTACAGCTTATAGTTTTATGGTGGAAATGAATCAAAGGGAGTTTTTTTGGTGTAAATTTCAGCATATTCATGTAGCATGGAGCTTTGCTTGAACTTAGTTGGCGACAAGAAAACCCAGTTTTTGAGCTATTTCATGCACAGAATCAATCTTCTTCGTTTCCATAAAATAATCCCAGTAGTTGTGTTTGATGGTGGAAGTATTCCTTGTAAGGCTGCCACTGAAAATGATAGATACAGGTTCAGACTTCTCTTCATTTGTATTTTTTAATAATACTTAGTTGGGTATTATTGGAGATGCTGATATGCTATAATTCTTGGGGATTCCATTTTTATTATAGGAGAAGGAAAGCTAATAGAGAATTGGCAATGACCAAGCTCAAGGAGGGGGATGTTAACTCTGCAAGTGAACTTTTCCAGGTTTGCCTTCACTCCATGTTTGTTTCTTTCCATTGACTTATTGATTACCTATATGCATTGTATGTCAGAAGTGTTTATTTGGATTCAAATGTATTGAACTTGCAGCTGGAATCATTGTTGTACTGAATGCTACACTTGAGTAACTTGTGAACTCCAATTATTTAGAACATTTCCTGATTTTCACTAGCATTCATGTTGTTTTGCCATGGATGAGATGATAAGTGAATTCCTTTTGTCTCACAACAACTGATTTTTAGCTATCCTCAGTTTGCTTCAATCTGGAACTGTGTATATCCTCACTGTGAGAAATAGTTGGCAAATCACCTTGCTTTGAATACTGTGAATTTGTAGATTTTTCCCCAACCAAACCAAGTATTGCAATTGTCAATGTTGTTTCCACTTAAAATTCCATGAGTTAATTCCAACTTATATAAGCAGTTTTAGACATTTAATATGTATTATTTCTCTCATGTGTAGAGAGCAGTGAGCATTACTCCAGCTATGGCGCATCAACTGATTCAGGTTGTTAGCTATTGCTTATTGAGAACAATATATCTTCATTTCTTTCATATTTCTATACTATGTGGCTTCACAATAATTCTTGTTCTATTAAATCATGTTTTCTGCTTTTGTTCAGGTTTTGAGATCAGAGAACATTGAATATGTGGTGGCTCCATATGAGGCTGATGCACAGCTAGCTTACCTGGCCAGCCTTGACAGTGAAAAAGGTGGAGTTGTGGCAGTGATTACAGAAGATAGTGATCTAATAGCATATAGTTGCCCATCCGTAAGAACTTCCTCAAAACTATGATATGGAGGTCTATTGCTCTCTTGATGACTTCTATGTTTTGTCTTGAGTATTGAAGTCATTGGCTTCCCTTCATTTTGGTTTGCATTGGATGATTACAGATTATGTTTAAAATGGACCGATATGGAAATGGTGAAGAACTGTTGTTGAAGAAGATTTTTGATTCTGCAGCTAAGAAACCGTCCTTCAAACACTTTGATAAAGAATTGTTCATAGGCAAGTTCTACGTTGACTCTTGAATGCATCATTATTTAGGTTTGCATGTTATAAGAGCATCAAGGTAACCCAATGGACTGGACCAGAGACATGCAATTCATAGAATGAGGCATTACCACTAACCATTTTACATGTGTATTTCTGGTTGTTACGATGATGACTGACCTATTCTTTTAAAAAATGTTATAATTTGATTGGTTAAAAACTTTCCCCTTCCCTCCCATCCCCTCCCCTCCATTCCCCTCAACCCAAACATAGGGTTAATGTATCTGAGCTAGAGTCAAGGTAATAATCACATAATAACTATGAAACCAGAAGGAATTAAATAGTTATGGTCTCTTGAGATTCTTTTTGTTTAAGGCATGCATTTGACGTAAAATTAGCTCATGTTTGTGACATTGGCAGGTATGTGTGTCTTAGCTGGATGTGATTTCCTTCCATCTGTTCCTGGCATTGGAATTGCCAAGGCGTATTCCCTGGTTTCCAAGTACCGGAACCTAGAACGTGTAAGTTTTTCCATCCCCTTTTTATATGGCATATGGAATTGGCTGCATTTTCAATCCTCTTATATCTAAAAGTAGAACGAAATATCAAAGAAAGGAGATTGATCTAAAGTTATTGTCATTATGACAAACAAGCTATTTGTTATGGTTTCACAATATATAGGAGATGTATAGTTTAAATGATTATACATTGTTATTGAGAAGTCCATCCGTGGTGCCATTTTTACAGGTTTTATCAGTTTTGAAGATTGAGAAGGGCAGTCAAATGCCAGAAGATTACTCAAAATCCTTTAGAGAAGCTGTTGCGGTTTTCCAGCATGCTAGAATGTGGGTACATTTTGAAAGCAAATATGCAATTACTCATTGACCTCTTTGTTTTCTACCTATTGAATTTCTGAACACCCTTTCTAGATATGATGCTGACACCAAAATGCTCAAGCACTTGAAACCTCTTACAGAAGATCTTCTGTTGCTTGATGGAGAACTTGATTTCCTGGGACCGTATCCTTTTTTCACATCTGTTCTTCTCTTGAGATTCAGTAATTGGTTCAGAATCTGGACAGCTCTCTCAGTAGGTTCTGCTGAGAAGTGGTTTATCTGCTAGTGCATTTATAAACATTTCTATCTCCGATCATTGCCTACCACTTCTTTTTGGTAACAATGGACAGTTATAATCGATCTTGCTCATATGCAGTGTACATGTTTGTGTTCAAATTACCAGTCTTTTCTTGACCAACTACCAAATAATATCAGAGAGATTCCACCATCAGTAGCTAGTGCAATTGCCAAAGGAAATGTAGATCCTACAAACATGGTGGCCTTTGATTGTTCTCCAACTTCCGTCTACCATGCAGACCCTGCCATCAATCAACCCTCCGGTAGAATGGAGGAGCCGGAAACTGCTGTTCTATCATTATCCAGACGAGAGAGCCCTTCTCTGGTATTTTCTTCAGATAAAACCAGTGAAAAGGATGCAATTGGTAAGTTCTTCCTTTCCTGCATTTTATATCCATAGATTGTAGAAAAAATATTTAAATTTGTATGTTTTACAATTATGTGGGTTTTCTGGTGATAGGTACAGAGAGGGGGCAGGATCCAGTTTCAACTGGAAGGAAGCATTTCAATGATGCTGGTCTTGAGAGATTAATTTTGTCAGCAAAAGTTAAGGAAACAAAAGAAAGTGCAACAGTTTTTTATGACACTCCATTGAATATTCCCAACAACAACCCCTTCAAGAAAAGAAAGCTTGATGAACTTGATATTACTGGGATAAAAGACGTTTCAGAACAAACTTCAGACAAGAACAATAATGAGCAGTTTGAGATCTTATGCGTTTCTCCTGATGAGGCTCAGTTGAGCAAAAGAAAACAAAATGAAATCAGCTTCAGCCAGGGAGAGAGTTTTAGTGAACAAATTTCTTTGGTGACTGAGGTAGAAAGCTCAGAAGTCTTGTGCTTTAACACAGAATCCCAAGAAAGTGTCAATTCTAAGCCTAAAAGGGTAAGTAATGGAAGTGGAAGAGGTAAGAAAGGGTTGAAGAAAGATAATATCAAGAGTTCTCAGACTAAGAACACTATCTTGAATTTCTTTTCTCGTGTATGATTATTTATTATTCTAATTTAAAGAATGTTGAATTATTCCAAATTTATAGCTCCTTGAATCAGAAATTCAGAATAGTAAAGCACCAAGTCTAATAATTTTGTTTGATAATATTAGATAAAGGTACATGACAGGGCATTTAGCATCAGTCTGCCTTATTTCTTAGGTCGGCTCGCCACAATTACAGTTAGAAAGTGCTATTACCATCTAGGGATTGAAACAGGAGATAACCTGATCATTGATTTCATTGCTTCTTGCATAAGCACTTTCCAATTGTGAAACAAGACCGCCTGGCTGCTTAATGCTTATTTCTCTTGAGAAGTTGATGGAACCAATAGGCCGACATCTTAGGGTGCCTCTTCAGGTTTGTAAAGTCAACATAAACAATGCCAAACCTTGAAGTGTAACCTAATCTCCATTCAAAATTGTCAAGCAACGACCAAGCAAAGTAACCAACTACATTTGCCCCATCATTGACTGCTTTCTTTAGCTGAGTCAAGTAACCTTTGTAAAAGTTGATCCTTGTGGTGTCCTGTAATCCCTTAGGAAGTGTAACATTTCCTGGGTCATCCATGCCTGCAGGGAATGTGATGTGAAGAAATTTAATGATTTGATGATTCAGTTCTAATAAATTCATTTTTTTTTCTCTTCATGGTAAAGGAGTATAAGAGCCAAACAGAGACCTTTGTGAAGAAATTTAACTAGATTTCGAGGAAAGAGAGTTTTGCTAAGTCATACCATTTTCAGACAGAATCACAGTGGGGTTTCCATAGTTCTCTTTTATGTACATCAGAGCCTTGTACATGCCCCAAGGTACATTATAGAGCCAATAAGAATTTGCCTACAAGATGAAATGATGAGGCAAACACATAATTCAAGTGTCTCATGATTAGTTCAATTTATTTTTGTGAAGGGAGGGAGAGCGTTCAAAGACATATGGTATGCATATACTTACTCTTGGACCAATAGGGACTCCTCTTTTTGCATCTTCACAAGCCAACAGAAACTATAGTTTAGAAACAAGGTTATCCAAAAGATGAGCATTATGACATTTCTTAAGGCATGGAAGAAATATCTTACAAGCAAATCCGGCATTCCAATCTTGCTGGTAGCCTAACTGTTTTGGTTTTGACAGATGTGGATCATATATGTAGTATGTGGTGTAATGATTGATTCCCACAAAATCGATTGAGCCCTTAACCATTTTCACCTCTTCTTCTGTGAACTTGGGTAGCCTATCACCAACAATTACTTGCATTGTCTTGGGGTACTCTCCATATACAATAGGATGGATAAACCTGCAAGAGCCCCAAACCACTGTTACTTGAAAAGTGTCACGTCATTAAGGACACAATATCTTTGAAACACCCCTGACTGCATGGCCTTCAAGACAACAAAGCAGGTCAAGCTATATTACGGAGTGAAACTCCTACCATCCAACATGAAAGTCTCTTGCTCGTTGAGCTGCATAGTTGTCAGCCTTTGATCTGGTGAGAGGCTCATACCATACAAAATCCAAGAGAATTCCTATCCTTCCCTTTTGTTTTTCCTTAAAATACATGCATTTAGAAATCAAAGTAATCAGTCACATGTAACAGGATGGTTATAAAGTGATACATCCTATACAAAACAGACCAAAAACTGCTGCTCTTACTTGATACTTTTCACGGTATCTCTGAACTGCAGCTGCATGTGCCAAAATCAAATGATGGGCAGCAATATATGGTTCAGTCGCAGAATTTCCAACAGTACAATTTCCAAATGCCTTTGAGCATCTTCCAGGTGCAAAGAAACCATTATCATAGCCAAGAGCAGCAACTACTCTAGGTTCATTGAAAGTCATCCAGTTCTTTACTCTGTCTCCAAACATCTTGAAACAGAACTCAGCATAATCTGCAAAGTCTTTCCTGAAGTTATGAAAAACTTATCAGAAGTTGAGTCATATTGGCTATTTGTAAACAATGGCTAGACACTGCTACAAAAGCTAGCTCTTAGAAATAAAAGCGTTGTTTTTATGGTCCTTACACTACTTTGTCACTCAACAGTCCATTGTATCTCTTCTCAAGCGCCTCAGGAAGGTCATAGTGATACAGATTTGCATAAGGAGTAATGCCTACAAAGAATTTAGACAGATATAAGATCCATCTTCATCAAACAATCAAGCAATGCTACTCAGAGTTCAACATGCAAAGATTAGGTTATGTTCTTAATCTTGCATTTGAGACTTACCTCTTTCTAGCAGGTAGTTGATCAACCTGTTGTAGTATGCTACTCCCTTCCAATTTACCTTTCCAGTCCCATCTACATTAACAAGTGAAGAAGGTTAAGGAGGTCAGATAGAAAATGTCCATTCTTATTCTTCTTCTTTTATCTTCCTTTTTAGTTTTTAAGCTCAAAATTTATAGAAAATGTCTATACACTGATGAATTACCTGGGAAAATTCTGGACCATGAAATTGAGAACCGATATGCATCAAAGTTCAACTTTGCCATAAGATCAACATCTTCCTGGAATAACAGAACAATTGAACAAACAGTCAAGTTTCACCCTCCCTGTAGAGTACAACAGATGCAATCAACAACTTGAATATGCAACTCTTCCTTTTTATAGGTGAACTGGCTATACATTCCAGACCAATCTTGGTATTCCTGCAACATTTGCAGCTGATTTACCAAAATCATTGGTGATGCTTAACTTATATAATCATATGTACTCTATACTTGATTTGAATTCAGAACATTTTGACTGCATTAATTATAAGTATATTGGAAGTTTTAAATTTAAATCTAGCAGAAGATTAAAGGTTTGAGAAGACAACAGTTATCATCTCTTTTATTTAATTCATCATCGTGTACAAAAGAAAAAAATTATTTTGCAATAAAGGGATGGCTGTGTTTTTATCAGTTGAGCATGATCACTGAGGGAGTTAATTCTCTGATTAAGCTAGAAAATTAAATGACTATGTCATGACATTGAATTACATGGACCTAATATTGCATTGAATTAAATTCGATGCCATAACCACGAGAACAGTTTAGTCAACGGTCAAAACCCTAAATTGCCATTGTTTTATTTAAATAATCAAAGACATCCGATAAGTAAATTAAGACCACCAATGTTTTAACTTTTATTGTTAATAAAGTAGATATTGTTGATTAAAGTAAGGCCATAATAAAACTACACAGCTTTTTCCTTGTCGGTTACTAGGGACAAGTAAATGGGCTCATCACGTTTTTCAGTTTTCTTTGGGTGCGACAAGATTCAAACTTTCAAACTTTAAAAGTTTAATAAAACAAATTTTGTTAGACAGAAAGATGGCCATCGGATCAGGATGGACGCTTCAACCTTTGAGGCTATTAAATTATTGTCCTATTCCCATGCAAGTGGGTTAGACATCACGTCTTGAAATCATTTTTTAATTCTTTTACATAATTAACATTTAAATCAAGAAGGATTAAGGTTTTTGGGTTTAATAGTTTA